CGATTCTCTCCCCATCCCACTGGAGGGGGAGGGAAGTGAGCAAGCAGCTGCGTGGTGTTTGGCTGCCTGCCAGGTTAAACCACAACAACCTCGAAGGAGAGATTGAGAAAATAGCCTGAATCAGAATTTGTTTAAAAGTTCAGCGATGATCTACATCTTAGAATCCATCTCTTGTTTTTGTACAGATAATAAATGTAAAGGTAACTTACGTATAAGAAGAAATGCTTGTTGAGCTTCTCTTAAAATTGCACTCTCTCTGTGATAAGGCTGTCTGTCACCTCTAAGAAAAATCAGACTCCAACTAATGTTTCTTGCTTTAAGAATTGGTAGAGGAGTCCATAAGGCCCTCACAGCAGCCGTTATGCTGTTAACTAAAAGAGATCAAATCGGAGGAGTCCCATCATCGTTACTATTTCAATTCACTTTACCTAGTTCAGTATAATCGATTTTAAAGTTCTTATAGAAATTCCCTAAAGAATTTCATAGTTCTAAAAATTTTCAATAAATTTGAGTCTGTTCTTGAAGAAGGACACTTTTGTCACTGGGGAAAGTCTCACCCGCAGTGCTTTTTTAAAGCATGAACATAATGCCAAACAGGTTTCTTGGCCTGAATAGGTACAGAAGGAAATCTCTTACCTTGAAGCACTAAATGTCTAAAGTGACAAATGTATTCATTTTTTCCCCAGACTCTATACAACTAAAGCTAATTGGTTTATTTTAGCTTAAACTTAAATATTGTTCTGCAAGGTCATCCAAACTTTTCTGCTTGTTAGTCCTTTATTAGTTAAGTTGTAGGCAATAAAACAATATGCTAAAATACAAGAGTTTTAAGATCCTTGTTTATCAGTATGTTCAGCTTTGAGAATACAGTATGATGACTATAGGCACAGTTGGTTTGTCCTTCCCCATGTTAATTTTGGAGGAAACCAAATGCAAATTGCTTATGTCTGATATCTGCTAATGTCAGACTTGTGACTTATGGGCTGTTCAGCAAAGAGAGGAGGAAAGCTAGTCTGGTGTCACCTGAAACATGTTCCTTAAGCTACATGCAATAAACTTTAAAACTACTAGTAATTCATCTACCTGAACAAAATTCTTCCACATTTTTTAGAAGGACTTTACGTATGAAAAGTAGTTCTGTGGCTTCTTCAGAGGAAATAAGACTTCTGGATAGTTACAGGGAACTGTACATTACAATTTTTGCTAGTTTTGAGACTTCTACAGGTATTCTATGCTTTGAGTACCTTTTGTTGTGCCTATGTCTTAATCAGCTTTATTCTAGTATTTGGAATTTCCTTTTAATTTTCCTTTATTAAATTGTCTCCTGCTAGTAGTACTACAAATTTTCAAATGTTCCAATGGAGTATAACTGGCTAAAAGCATCTATTCTTTCCCACTATTATTCTCAGACAGTGTGGGTATATAAAATAAGTTATTGTTGCAATAAAGTGAGAAACAAAAATATTTTAATACCTTGCAGAGAGGCAACTGTACATGGAAAAACTTACGGGTTTTCCTGGTTTTTGGGGTTTTTTTCCAGTGACTTGTGTGCTGGACTGATTGGGGGTCTTGGAGTAACACCAAGTGGAAATATTGGTGCTAATGGAGTTGCGATTTTTGAATCGGTAAGTCTTCTTATGGAAGGTATAATAGTAATAACTACTTTGTCTCAACTTGAGAATCTAACTCTTTTCCATGACAAAATGTGGCTGTCACTTAACTAAGTTCTCCATAAAACTATTTTTTTACTGTGAAGATGCTGAAACTTTACCCAGAGAGAGTAGCTAAAGTATGTGTTACACACAGGTTTTTTGCATGTCCTTTTACTGACACTTTGTTTTCCCCTTTTTTCATAAGATAAATACCCTCTGTGAAATAGGACTTGAGGGGCACAACTGGGAGATATGAGGTGACCCAGTTCCCCCTTTCTGATGCCTTTGAACTGAGTTGTTTTGGTCTTTCCTATCTCCTTTCCACTAACTGTGTCACAGTGACGTAAGTCCTATTTTAACATGCTTGCACATGAGGACTATGTTTCAGGTTGCTTGCATACACTTGAATTGCCTAGGACATTTTAATCAGCATATTGACATCATAACAGATAGGTTCACTTTTATTTCTAGGTTCATGGAACAGCACCAGACATTGCAGGAAAAGACTTGGCAAACCCAACTGCCCTTCTTCTGAGTGCTGTAATGATGTTGCGTCACATGGGACTACACAAACATGCCACAAAAATTGAGACGGCTTGCTTTGATACAATTAAAGATGGAAAGGTAATATGAGGATGTGCAAATAAATGCAGTGAATTAAAATCATACTTCATCACAGCAAAAATTAACTTAGAACATTAACACCAGAACAATGGATGACCTGCTGTGCTGGCCTGACACATGAGCAGTGCCACTATCCTTCTCTGATAGTAATTATATTATCTTAGGTGGTATTAAATCTGGCCAGCTCAGTAATAAGGACAGGCTGTAGCATTCCTTGTGTCTCAGTAATGCTCATTCTACATTTCCACAGCTTTGTTAAGTCTAAAAGCTAAAACTGGATGTCTGTTTTTCATGAAGGGGATTAGAGGTTTAAGTAACTAGTGGTATTTCACTTGTGAAGTTTATAATGCATACAAAGCATATATATTTAAATCTGGATCCTGAAGTGAAGGACATTCATTTGCCTTTCACAGGCTTAATCATCCACTTCATTTATAGCATTTCGGTCCTGACCGTAATAATTCTGGTCCGATTTTTTCAGGTCAATTACCTTCTTTTTTGCTCTTAACTGCTTTCACTCCTTTTTGGACTACAAAAGAACTGTTTTTATCCAGTATTTACATTTTCCCTTAAGATTGTACGTGATTTCCCTTTGGCAATAAATGTCTCCAGATTCAAGACTCAAATGGGATACTCTGGGGGGGCTTACGCTCTGAAACCTGACTTGAATTTGTGCTCTTAACGTTATTGGTTCACTCATCTACTTTGAGTCCACCTTTTCAAAACATAGCTGGAAAGGTCCTGAAGATTGCAGTTAAAGAGGATTAGCAGTTAGCCATGCTGGTTCAATTATCCTGGGCAGGAGCATAAGAAGCTGCTTTGTAATTAAAAGTAACAAGCATGCTTAAACAAAAAGCTGTCATCATTTCATAAGTGGTCTGTTTGCAGCTATCTTACTGTGTGTAGGAGCCAGTTTAAAAAACAAAATAAACTTACAAGTGAATAAAGAGGTGCTCCTGTAAAGTTCCCATTTACTGCTCTGGAAATGAAATCCTCCATCTGCAGGTCAGTAATTCTATGGAAGATAACACAGTGCAAGTTTTGTGACATGGCTACTTGTTTACTAGTTACTTACAATGTTATGATTACATGCTCACAATGGAGAGAATCTTTTTAAATTCAAAAAAGCATAATGCAGTTAAAATGACAAGATCCTAAAATAGTAACCTTTATTGCCTCTCATGCTTGCTATTTCTCCCTTTCCTCCCTTCCCCCCAGCCACTTAATTAAGATTTCTCTGTGTGTCATCTAAAGGGAAAACTAATGTTTTTAAATTATCTCCTAGACTGCTTTAATCTAGCTAGGTTGGACAAGCGATGTTGTCCAATTTTTATTTGATTTTACTGTCTTCATGTTGCCAGACAGGAGTTGTACTTGATGAAAAAGTTTCTTTTAACTCTGCATTTTTCCATCTCTTAACTAAACTAAGCAAACTTACAGAACTGTTAACATGCAGCATTAAGACCTATGCGTGCTTTTTCTGTGTGGGTTTCCTTTAAAAAAAACCAAAACCCCCAAACCTTAACTGAATGACTCTCAATTTAGTTGCCTTCGCACTGAGCCTTCATATATGAATTTTACTTCCAAAGGACAAACTTCTTACTGAAAACTTAAGTATTTAACAATTAATTACACTATTATGTGGCTAAGAGACTTTGGAGAGCTTTAGCCAAATGCACTTTCTTCCTGTAGTTAAGATAAAATCATGTTGAAATCTGAAAACATAATGCTTGATGTTCATACTCAAGTTTTCTCTACCTGCTTCAGTCTGCATAGTCCTTATTGATGAAGGCTATATGGGATGCAGAAAAACTCAAAACTTGATGTATTCCTTCTCACCCCTATTTAGTACCCATACTCAACATGTAAGAAGAACATATAGAACTGTTTAGAGACAAGACTAGCCCCATAAAAGATTTTAGTAGTACTATTTTTTCTTTCTTTCAGGTCTTGACAAAAGACTTGGGAGGTAGCGCCAAGTGTTCGGAATTCACAGAGGAGATCTGCCGCAGAGTACGGGACACAGACTAAACTTTTCTCATAGTACTTGTAATAACTCTGAAAGGACACATCATGCAAAGTACACTATATGTAACCTGATATCCATATAGTTTGCTTGTTTCTTAAGAGAACAAACTTTTTAGTTAGGGCCTCTCCGTTAATAAATTTAGTCCAAATGGCTACAAACGATGCTTGTGCCTGCTTTCAGTGGACTTTTCTAAGTGCTTTGTCTTATTTATTTTTTTCTATCTGGTGAACATTTTTATGTAAGTGAATTCTTTTATTGCCACTGTAACTGTCTAGCGTTTTCCATTTCAACTAGAGGTTTTTACTTTCCACGAAGAAAAATTATGCAAATAAACCAGTAACAGAATTAGTGAAATGTAAAAGCACCTTAATGGTTAAAACCTACTTTATTAATCTTACTGAAATTTAAAAGATAGGTTTTCAGCCTAACAATAGCACAAGATGACCTTCATAAACAGAAACGGGTATAAAATAACTTAAAATAGCAATTTCATGTTAAAAGCTATGAAAACAACACTTTAGATACTCTGATCATTCATGAAATATAGCCTTGCCCTCCAAGGGCATGAATAAAGAAAAACAAAATTCTAGAGCTTTAATCTATTTGTGTATTTTAAAAAACCCACAACCATTAACCAGCAAGGGGTGAGAATTAATGTTGAAGTAAATTATTTTTCAAATCTACATACCAAAATAATTCTTACAAATTTTCCTGTATGAAACACGCTTTACAACAGGGTTCTGATGAGAGTAAATTATACAAAATTATTTCTGCCATATATTGTGAGAGGAAAGTATTAACTTTGCAAATTTATACTAAATATTTCATGACTTCTGCTAGAATGCTTTTTGTGTTGTACTTTTATGCATAGTCTGTTCAGTGTGTCTTACTGTATTGACTAGTAATTTTATTCTAGAAACTCTGAATGTAAAGGACTAGTCCTAAATGGATTAAGACAGATCAAAGGTTTGGCTCTGGTGCCTATGTTCCAGAAATACATTTCATCCCTATTCAAGGGGATCTGAGACTATTTTTTCCCTGCTTACTAAGCTTAACGGGTGCAAAAGCAACTCTTTTCCCTCCCTTCTTCATCACATACAGATTGTCATATGAGTCATTCTGATCTGTATGTCTTAAGGTATGCTTCCACTAGTACACCCTACAAGAAAACGTCTATTTTAAAACTCATTACTATAGCACAGGATTATCCCTACTGCCAGAACCAGGCTTCTTAAAACTTAATTCTATTAATAGATATTACCCCACTTAGTTACTCTCTATTAAGACTGTTTAGACTGGTTGTTTCAGAAGTAAAACAAATTTTGAGTAACTACTTGTAGTGCTACTCTATGAAGTAAGTATCCCAGCTTTTTTAATACAGTCTAACAACATGTTGGAGGAGGGACAATGAGCTTTATTCCTCACGCACTCTGCTTTTGGTGAATAGGGCAACATTTCTTTCTGTGTTTTACAAGCTGCTGCTTCCTTGTTTCCTTTAGGTTAATATTGTTAAAGAACTGAATTACCATTACGCACAAAATGGGGAAAAATAAACTTTTCAAAGTCCTATTGCTTGTTTTGTTTTTATAATCCTAGGCTGCTATCTTATGTGTTGAGCTGATTGTTCGTACTTGCAACAAATCTTAAGTCTGTAAGATGTGTAAGACTGCTAATGGAACTTTCATGGAAACAATACCCTATTCTGCATGATTTTTTTGATCAAGAACAGTGGCTGTAACCTGCCTGCTTGTGTTAGCTATTATAACTCTCTGCCAAAGATCACTTACTAACAGCAAACCCTTTAGACAACTTTCTGTCAAGTTTGTTACGTTTACATAACGATTTATTTTTTATAAGAGGAAGAAGAAATGCAGCTCACATTAGTACAATGTCAATATTGAAACATGCTGGTAGTGTTGCAACACGCTGACAAACATTGCTTCTAAACACTTTTGCTTAAAAAAAAGTGCTGTAAACAATTTTAAAGAAGTTTCTGTTCTACATAGCACTTTAATGTGAGAGCTCCTGCATTTGCTACTTGTGTCTTTCAATCTCAGGGAGCTATTCCCCCAACTTTTTTGATTATTCACTTTTAGGAGAAATAGTAATGCTTATTTCAACATGAATTTAAGAAATGACAAGCTGCTGCTTTCACAAGAGTCTGAATTCTAGCCACTGTAAAAATGGAAGAGGAGTGTCTTAAGGTTTGGAAATGTTGTGTTAGTGAACAAAAATAAACTCATCTCTGGGAGGGAAAAAACCAGCCCTTTTGATTTTTCTTTTTTTTTTTTAAAAAAAGTGTTATAAGTGTTATAAGTTTCACTAAGCAGTCCTGCTAACTACTGATCTACCAAAATGTATCATGAGCGACAGGCAACCTCCTGTAGAAAAGAAAAAAAAAAAACGGAAGATCACTGTATAAAAAATTTTCCGTTTCAGTCTAGCAGAATTAATTAGTTATACCCGCTTTATACAACACAAGAGGATGCTTTTAATCTTAATCAATTAGGGCATAAAGTAAAAACAATATTAGAAAACAGACACTGTGTAGATACTTCTGTAAGAAGAGGACAAACTATCAGGAACAACTAAATTGACACAGCAGTTTTCTAGGGGTTCATTTCAATACACTACAAAACCAAAACAAGCATAATCTTCGTTAATGCTTTTGATTAAGAAATACTTTCTTTAGCTCACAGATCTTCTTAATGCTTGGGTGAAAGACTTCTTATTCCTCATAGAAGGAGTCTACTTCATTTCTGTATTTCTCGAGCACGGTGAGCCGTTTTAACTTCATTGTTGGACCTTAAAAGAGGGTGTTAGTCACAATAGCAGAAATAGGAACAAAAATTCCTACTCAGTTTGAGCTTTGGTTCCTAAGATTTTCTATTGAAGAGCCTGTTTGGAAGAACATCTCCCACTCTAAGTGTAGATACCTGCTAAAAGTGAGAAGCAAGCGTGGTATCTAAGGTTGCCTCCACATAAGCATGAGGACTTCAAATGGAGCTGCAGATAAGAGGGTGATGACTGACTAGTACTACTTTTTTCATTAAAAATAATTAAAAGGATGATGTTTTTGAAAGCTTTTAAACAATTCCCTGTTTATTCAAAGAGCCTGGTAATGTGCTTGGGGCTCTGTTGTCAGGCTTTCATTGTCTTGCTTCTCTCTTTTTTTTTTAAACGAGAAATTTTCAGTATTATTACTGGAAGTTATTAATTCTGTAATGCACAAGGAATTAACCAGAATTGATTGTTTAATTGCCCAAAGCAATCTGAAATTTAACTATAGAGCTGTACTTAAAAATGAGCACAGATTGTTATATATGTATGCAGCAAAAACTCCGATTTTTGTATTCTTTAACACATGCTGCATAACGTTTTTTTCCTTTCCCTCTAGTGGCTGTACTCAGAATTTGGCATACAAAACTATTTGAATACTCTTCAATCAGCAGCCTCTTTACTGTGTGTATACCTCAATATAAATCAGTAAATCTTACCTAGTTCTCCCCCAGAAATGGAAAAATCTCTTGGCAGGACTATCCATTTTTGAATACAATGAACTCTATTAGTAGCGTTCATGTTGACTTTGTTGATTCCCTCCTGAATGGCCTGGTAGATTGCCTGGTCTCTTGTAGCTACAATCTCTGATACCTTAGTGGCTTTACTACCAGTCTTCTGGCAGAAGTCTCTAGCTTGTTCAGTGAGAATGTCAGTGGGATCAGATGTATCTGGGTCCAGCACGCACTAAAACATCAAATTAAGTGAATCATCAAATGCTCACTCTTGCAAGGCATTAAATGTTTCTCTGATCAGGTCCTCCCCGACTCCTAAGAATCAAGAAGGCTCAGCATCAACACCCAAACATTCTGTAAGCCTTAAAAAGCAGAAATACCTACAGATGATAGTGCTTTTCTTTCCACTTGGCTACCAAATGCAAATATTTTTGGTTTATATGCAGATGACATGAACAAACTTAAAACATGTCAATGAATCGGGCAATGAAGTCCATCTATAGACCTTGAATTTCTACCATATTTTCCAAATTACTCCACTGTTACAGGGGAACATTTAGCTCATCATTAAATTGAATTACGGTGGTGTAATGTAAAAAGCTTGAGATAGAAGCATTCTTTGAAGTTAGACTTCTTAAATTAGTATTTCTATCGTACCTGTAGATAAGGAGTATCAGTCATAGAGATAAACAACTTGAGAAAAACTAAAGGGTCATTCACTATGTATGTACACAGAACATGAAGTGCAAATGTTTTAGAAAAAAGTGATTTCTTAATTGAAGCATATGCCACAGCAAAGCTATTATTTTGTTCTACAGTCATCCTTCTTGTGCTATATGAACAGAACAAATTGTAGAGAAATGTTTCTGTTGGAAAGTCTGCTTCTGTTGGAAAGTTTCTGTTAGAAACTGTTTTTTGCCCGTAACAGAAACATTTGTTGTCTTTGCTTGTCTGTAAGAATAAAAGCTATTATTGTGCTCTGTTACAGAGACTTCTCATTTTTTCAACACTTCTTAATTAAAAATTTGCATTTAAATTAAAAAATGTCTTATTATATGTATAGGAGAAACAGCAGTAAACACGTAGATGTTTAGCAGGTCATGTAATCATAAGAAGTTTAGACCATCAGGATTTGGTGTGTAGTTGCTATGTATTTTTTTTTTCCCCACTGATGTCCTTCTATCTAATTTTGGGTCTTTTTACAAACGGGTCAAAATTCTTCTGGTTTGGGTAGATGCAGGTGTATAATTTCACTGAAAGCAGTATTAAAACTGGTGTACCTTTAGGGTCAGCAACATTGACAAAAACTTCTTTTTATCTCCAATCACCATAGCATTACTAACAATTGGGAGTTCTTTTTTAACAGCATCTTCAATTGGAATTGGAGGCACGTTTTCACCTCCAGCTGTAATAATCAAATCTAGACAAAAAAGAAAGGCTATTAGTTGAATTCAAATAAATTCCAAAGATCAGGTTAATGTCTGGATCGACCCATTTTTATTCTGAAAAATAAAATATTTATTTATTTATAAAGAATAAGAGAGATTTTTTCTAAAGATAATGTTTTCAGAGAGAACAAAGCCTATTAATTAATTATCTTCAAAATAAAAATGCTAATGTTTTTCAAATATGTGCTCAAGTTCTCA